GGCTGGTGGGTCGGCCTTGGAGAAGGTGGAGGACCCTGGACAGGGTGTTAGGGCCCGGCGGGAGCCAGTGGAGCTGCTGCCAGAATCCGACAGTACGGGGGCTGGTGGGTCGGCCTTGGAGAAGGTGGAGGACCCTGGACAGGGTGTTAGGGCCCGGCGGGAGCCAGTGGCGTTTCCGCCAGAATCCAACAGTATGGGAGCTGGTGGGTCAGCCTTGGAGAAGGGAGAGGACCCTGGACGGGGTGTTGACGCTGCACAGGGCGGGAAGAGACGTGGTGGCCATCTGATACCGGGGGAGCATTGGATCAAGGGGAATGTTCCTGAAGGTATTTGGGAGTTATATAAGGAGGCACACATGCTGAGGGCTACTCAGCGTAAGGAACAAAGGAGGAAACACGGGAGAAGATTGCGGGCCTATCTTATGGACAACTCATTCCGACCGCATTCGGACCGTCAGACCCGGGGAAAGGGCCCTGCGGTGAGGGATAGTGTTGTGACTCAGCAGAAACCTCCTGTGGATAAAAGACTGATGTGGCCACGTCCTAGTTGCAGAAGTCAACGTTCGTTCGTTCCATTCCGTTCCGTTCCTGTTCTAGTCTAGGTTCCCCGTTCGTGTTCATGATTCAGAGAAACCAACTGAGAAGTGGTTTGCTGTACAAGTTTGTTTTTGCATTTGCTGTTTAACTTTTTGCCAGAAAATTTATCTGTGTTTAGTTTGGCCTCGCAGCCAGCAAAAGCCGGGACTGATAAAAATATTTCCTTTGAAGTTCTGTCTGGCTTTCGTTTCTGAACGAACAAGGTGGGGGTCAGAACACCTACCTATCTATCTATGTAAGACTTCATGTTAGTTTCAGTGCATGTTCTTCACTATTCATCAGATATTCTTCCAATGCTATTTTCTTCTTCTTCAACAGTCTGGTGTACTTGCAACATTTCACTCCCACCTGTTTTCTTGGATAAGTAGAGTCAAAATCTCTGTGCAGATGAAGGGTGTTATTCATTGTCATTATTTTTGGGGGGGCTTTCTATAGAGTTCTACTTGAGTCCAGTCCACTATTTCAGCTGTGTATTTAATGACTGTAATTACCCAGATGTTAATTGCCTTGATAGTATTTCATCTACTGAGTTTGAAGTTTAAGATCTTCTTCACTCTTATGATATATTCGCTTCTAACCTTCTTGACTTCAGTGTGCTTGATGTTGCCAGCTTGAAGGATGCCCAGGTATTTGTACTGATGGTCTTCATCCATACTCTGATCCTCTTTCCATAAGGACATTTTGATTCCTTCAGTTTTCACTTTTTTTTTCTTTTTGGGATGGTAAGGATGGCACATTTGTCCAGCCCAAACTCCATTGCAATATCTTGGCTGTATATATGGACAGTGTTGAGCAGAGATTCTATTTCAAATGGTATTTTGTTATACAGTTTGATATTGTCCCTATAATATTTTCTGAAAACATTAAATGCAACAGTTGGACTCCTTCTCCCATCTTTAGGTTTTTTTGTATGTTCATTACTTAGAAAGCAAGGACTGATTTCAAAGGAGTTCAACACCCACAGTTGAAGGTCAGAATTTCGAAAGGTCTTGGATAGATCAAAGAGGATAAGCCAAACTTCAAAGAAACTCAGTATTTATTTATGGGTTAGGAGGCATATCTAGTAATCTGCTCTTCATTTAGGAATTTAGTTTAGCAGTTCATTCTTGATAAAGTTACATTCTACCTTTAGGAGATGATTTGAAAGAGAATGAGAAATTTGGGGTTTGGATAGAGATATTTCATTAGTCTCATACTAATGCTTGAGGAAGCTTCCTGACCACATGTGATTTGCTTTGTGTATTTGCTTTGATTTGGTATTTTTTGAAAGTTCTTTTTCCAAAACATATTTTGAGATATTTTCCTAAATAGTGGGCTTTCAAATAAAGATATTCTTAACACAGAATTCCTTTTAAAATTACAGCCTGATCTCCAGTGGTTTTTATAAGGCAAATTTACTAATAGTGTTTGTAGTTGTTCCAAGATACCTTTTATTCATAATAAAATTACTAGTTACATAACAAGAGACTGAGCATGCCTAGCTACATGTTTCTTTGACATTTAGAAAGTTTAATAGATTATAGTGAAACTATTAGCATTTTGTCGTAGTTTCATTTCATTCTTTCCTATTACACGTTTTAATACAAAGTAGTTGAGCCATAGATTGTTAGGGTTTGCTTTTATTATACTGTTTCTTTAGTTTGACCTTAAAACACTTAAAATAATTTAAATTCAGTGGTATGTTCTTACTATTTTTCTTTAAAACTGATATTTTGATGATAGTAATTGCTTCTTTGCTTTCTTTCTGTTCCATTAGTGGCATATACAGAAAGGAAAAAAAATAGAAATAATGGAATCATGATCATGCAGAAAAAATTAGATGAAACATTGCATGAGATTTTTCAAATTCAAATAATTGTAGCTATATTGCTTAAAAATACCTCTGGTTGTTCTTAGAAAGATGGTATAAATTATTTTAAATTTAATTTAATTTTACGTGAATAAATTCTGCTTTTTATCAGTCTTAACAGAAAGATTTATAAATTGCAACAGTTGTAACAGATTGTTGGAAAGGTATGTTGGAATGTTGTATAATTGTTGGTTGTTTAGCTCCTGTGTTATCTTTCTGATTCTGAAAAAGAAGAACATTGGTGGTAGAAGAAAGTGGTTAATATTCATTTTCAAGGGGTTGTCAATCTTCATCATTTTAACCAAGAGATGGTAAGATCCTGATGGAATTTATAAATGATATAGTCCCTGTTTTTACACAGTGCCTAAAACTGTTGATTTAACAGATTGTCACAACATATATAATTTTTCAATATTTTCTGATAGATGATAATACCCCATGATTTTCAAGAATAGTCAACACATCTAGGCTTCAAAAGCGGACAGCCAATAGAAGTAATTCTATGGTCAGTAACCAGCAACGTGACAAAGGTTTTTTTTTTTGCTTCAGATTCAAAAGGGAATTTAGGAATGATAATTTGTTGAAGGAGACTTTTTTATACCTTATCCTCTGGAATTTTTATCATGATGAGCTAAGATACATGGAACAGATGGGTGGGTATCAACCATCATGTGTGTTTTTTCTCATCCCCTAAAATATTAAACTATCTGCTATGTTTTGAGACCCTTTTCTTAAATAGTAGTGGGATGCTTAAATTTTCTGCTATGGGCCAAGTATTAGAATAATTTTCAATAGTTCTGTATGTTTTAGTTTAATATTTAAGTGGACATTGAATATTATAACTAAGACAAGCAGATCAGCTTCCTCAAATAATTACCTTAAATTGTACTATGTTATTTTGAAAAGAGCCTTAAAATATTTAAAATAAATAGAAGGATTTTAAACTTGTTAGTCTGAACCACAACTGAACAATAATAAACCCAATCTGTAAATTTTCTGAGCTAAAATATCCTTGGATTTTAAGCTGCAAATACTATGTACATGGACATACGGTAATAATGCCTGTGTTATTGAATATCATATGAATTGGTTGACATGCTGAAAATGGACATAACTAGATGAGAGGAAAAAATTGGTGGGCTATATGGGACATACTTTCAGATCTCCTCGTTAGAAGAGGATGGAAATTAGTATTCATTGTGATGCCATTCATCTATTCAGATATGCGCGCATGCATACACACCCACACCCACATCACATACATTTCTTTTGGGAAAACTATAGAGCTTAAATAATATTTCTGTGTTGTGTTCTTTGTCCACTACTTCATGCTTAGTGTGAAGTTCCCAAAAGATGACCTAATTAATTTACAAGCCTCGAGACAAAGTTCAAACAAAAACAATTCATTTATTAGGATCAACATCTGGGCATGTCCTTCTGTGGAGCAGAAATTGATTTATACTTAATGGTGTCTGAACTTTACACCTGTGTCCCCTCCCCTCTGCCTTGGTCATAACTCACATTCACCAACAAGATACTATGGCAGGTTATTGACATGTGCATTCACATGCCAGCTGCAAGAATATGAAACCTGGCTCTGGCCAAAAGTATGCATGGAATTCTCCTCCTTTCTCTATGCTACTTGATAGTAGTCATGGCAAACTTTACAAGTTGACATCCGGCTCCCCTCACTTCCTGAAAGCGACTTGTGTAAAACAAAGCAATTTGAGTACAGCTGGATGCGTTCCTCCCCCACGTTTGCCTGGATTTTCTGCATGGAATTTTGCTATAAGGTGATCAGCCTGGATATTCCTACTTTTTACCCAAGATGCCTCTGATAATGGGTAGTCCTTCCACTTAAGTATTGGAGTTGTCTCCTGTGCCACCTCGAATCAAGGATGTTGAACTTCATAATGGGTTTGGCCTCCTATGACCACAGCGCCCGGGGGTTCCCGGGTTTTAAGAGGCTACTATGAAATGCCGGGTGTATCTTCCCCAGCAATTGAGGCAGTTTCAATTGCACTTTGGTCCCAGTTTCTTGCTAGACAGTTTTAATCTCAAATATTTTGTGGAGAGGTAAACCTTCTCTCCCACCTGGAATGACTGTTGCGAAGCCCGGTGCTTATCTGCCTGTTTGTGACGCTTTAGCCAGTGCTTTTTTGACATTTTTCCAGGTTGCTTTCAGCATCGACATCCAATCAGTCAAGCTGACTGAGGAGCTTGGATACTCAGGCATTTGGACAAAGTCCATACCACTTACTATTTTGAACGGTGTGACTCCTGTGCTACTGTGAACAGCATTATTGTATGCGACCTCAGCAAAAGATAAAAGATTTGCCCAATTGGACTGCTGATAGTTCACATAGCACCTCAGGTACTGTTTTACTATGGTGTTCAGTCTCTCTGCTGCCCCATTGGTGCTTGCATGAAAAGCTGAACTAAGACCCTGAGATGACCCAATGGACCACAGGAACTCCCTCCAGAACTTAGCCATGAACTGGACCCCTCTGTCTGAAATTCTTCAAGGTACTCCATGCAGTTGATAGATATGCTTCACAAACAGTTTAGCCAGCTTGTGAGCCAAGGGTAGTCTGCTGCAGGGTATGAAGTGTGCCTGTTTGGAGAACAGGTCTATTACAGTTCAAATCACTTGTGTTTCCCCCACTTTTCGGCAACTCTACTATAAAGTCCATTGTGATCTCCTCCCACGGCCTCGTTGGCTCTGCTACTGTTTGCAGCAGTCTGGTGTTTTTTCCCAGTCGTCTCTTCATTGTGCAACTTTCACATACCTATCCACATCTTTCTTTATGCCGGGCCACCAGAATTGCCTTCGGGCTAAGTGTAAAGTCTTTAGGAACCCAAAGTGGCCTGCCAGTTTGATGTCATGGCTCCTCTGGAAAAATAGGGTGTGTAGGGATTCTGGGACATAGAGTTTCGTCCCCTTCCATGCAATGTCATCTCTTTTTGTTAAGATGTGTTGGTTGTTTTGGAACCAAGGGTCTGCTAACAGTTCGGTTTTTAGCCTCGTGGTTAGGTCACTTGTGGGTTGGTTTTGCCGATCACGGTGTTGCCTCCTGGTGGTCACTTGGGCAGCTGTTTGAGTAGAGGGAATGATGGCATCCACTATGCGCTCCTGTTCACATTTGTACTGAGGAATGCGGGAGAGGGTGTCAGCTAGAAAGTTCCTCCCCCCTTGAATGTGCATTAACACAAAATCAAAATGATTAAAGTATTGAGCCCATCCTAAGCGCCTCCAGATTTTTGTGGTCAGTCCAGACTTTGAGCGGTTTCTGGCTCCCTTCCAACAGGTGTCTCCAGGTCAGCAGTGCCCATCTCACTGCGAAAGCCTCCTTTTCCCACGCAGCCCATCGTCTCTTTGTGTCTGTGAGCTTGCGGGAGGTGTAGGTGCAGGGTTGTAAGTTTCCTTGGTTGTTTTTTGGAGTAGCACCACTCCCACTGCCATGTCGCTGGCGTCTGCCTGGATCACAAAGGCTCTCTGTGAAGTTCCCAAGAGATGACCTAATTAATTTATGAGCCTCGAGACAAAGTTCAAACAAAAACCATTCATTTATTAGGATTAACATCTTGGCATGTCCTTCTGTGGAGCCGAAAATGATATACACTTAATGGCGTCTGAACTTTACCCCTGTGTCCCCTCCCCTCTGCCTTGTTCACAACTCACATTCACCAACAAAATGCTATGGCAGGTTATGGGCATGCACATTCACATGCCAGTTGCAAGAATATAAAATCTTGACTCTGGCCAAAAGTATGCATGGAATTCTCCTCCCTTCTCTATGCCACTTGATAGTAGTCATGGCAACACTCTACAAGTTGACACTTAGTATATCTTGTTTATTGGCAATTCAGCAACTTTTTATGGTAAGTTCTGAAACAGCAAGCTTTAAAATGTGTTTCTTCTGAAAATGTATCTAAAAACATTTCTTTAGAAATCTATCAATCTATTAGGGTTTCTGAAAACACAGCTACTTTAGTTCATCTGACTCACAAACAGCTAGTGGATGACAATGCCTTGTAATTTCTAGAAGCCTTAATATGGTTTTTTGATATTTCAAAGATACGAGTATGGCTACAAGCTGGCTACTTTTTCATTAATGTCTTTCACAGTTTGGAGTGGACTGGCTTATACATTGTACTGTATTTTAATTGGATATATGGCTTTAAAAAAAGCAGAACTAAGACTAATCTGTCACCTCCTGGCAGCTGTTCATTAATTTGTATTTGTGTAGCTTTGGCCGGGTCAGTCTGCTTTGTGTACAAAAGCTAAGCTTTCTTATCTTTTTCTAAAGAAATGCCTTTCAGAACAGCAGAATTGTGTTTGCCCAGCACTTCGTATTTGTTTTCATCTATTCTTCTGAATTATCCCATGTATAATTCTCATGTTCATCAGATTTATTTTATAAAGCTCATGAAATAAAAATGAAGGTAAAAGAAAAAAAACCTTTAGATACAAACAATATCTCATTCTTAAATGAAAACAAGTTATCTGACATTAGTTTAGAAAGATCTGTGCTTTAAAATAATGCTCCTTTAAATGGATAAGATTTTACAGAAGCCTTTTTCTGATGGAATATTAGCAAGTAGTGCATTTTCTTATTATAAATATTTAGTATAATTGTTATAAAGTGACTCCTTCCACCTTCCTTTCTTCAGTGGCTCAGTATTTTTATTTAATAGCTGATTGGATTGATGGCAACTGATATGCTCAAATCAGAGTACCTTTATGACAATAACATAAATTCATTACATTTGGTGGTTTGTAATTTGTAACCCTAGTACTTTCTGAGGATGAAAATTCTACAGGTAATCTTTGACTTAATTACTGCATGTTTAGTGCGTACTCAGTGAACTGGTAGTAACGCCGGTAGGAACCCACCACTGAGTTACACATGAAAAGGTGGGCACTTGGCCACCAGCATGTATTCACAATGATTGCAGCATCTTGGAGTAATGTGATTGCCATTTGCATCCTTTCCAGTCGCTTCCAACAAGCAAAGTTGATGCTGAATGTAACATACCTTGATGTCAGAAACATACCATGATGCTAGGGGTTTTCTCAAATTCTTTGAAACAGAGAACAAGATTCTTGTAAAGTCCTTTATAATTAGAAGAGGGATTAGTGTTCAGAAATCTCAGCAATTGAATACTTTCACTTTAGCACCCAATTTATTTTTAAGTTATTAAGGCAGGGACTTCTTCATTCTCTCCGTGAAAACTATTTGAAGAACCAGAGAATTGACTAATGGTTCTCCTAATACTGGAGGAATGTGCAGGTGTTTTGAGCCAGTATTGTTTTGCAAATGATTATTTACTTTCTCAGGTTCTGAATAGTCTCTGATAGATACATTTGACAGAATATTCTGCAGCATTTTAATAAGCAAACTAATTAATTAAATGTAAACTGGTAACAGGTTAAATAGTAGCTGTCTGACACAAATCAAGTTTCAAGAATACCATAAGATTAACTCCTTGATGCACCTTAACATTTGTATCTATTATTGGGATTATGAAGTGTAGTAAATGCTTATCAGATTTGCCACTAACATAACTTCAAATGAGATAGTAATATTGTAGAATGATAATTAAATTCAAACCGATAGCATAGAGCAGTGATGGTGAACCTTTTTGTAAAGGCATGCCAAAATTGTGTGTGTGTGCGCAATTGCACGGGCCTGCATGCCCACACCACAATTCAATGCTCCCCAACTGGTGCATGTGTGAATGGGTTTTTGCCCTCCCAAGGCTCTGAATGCTTTCCTGAAGCCTGGGGAGGGTGAAAATGGCCTCCCCTGGCCTTTCAAAAGGCCTAAAATCAGCTGGCCAGAACACACATGGTTGCCAGATCTGACGGCTCACATGCCAGCAGATAATGGCTCTGTGTGCCACATGTGGCAGGTATCCCATAGGTTCGCCATCACGGGCATAGAGTAAAATATTGAAAATAACAGTGAAAATTGACAGAAACAGATGCAACATGATTTACTTAGAAAGCAAATCAAATGCATAAAAATAGAATAAGTGAAATCTGATTTGAATTTCTTAACTTTGAGTAGTGAAATGACTGCAGTGGTCTCAATGGTCCGTTTCAGTTGCATGATTATATGAAAACTAATTTCATGTTTGTTCCAATTACTCTTATGCTTTTAGCCAAATCTGCCATGTAGCTTGTTTCTAATTTTGGAAAGAAAATATTTTGCATAACTTCTAATAAATTATTGTCATGTAATAACTTGTAAATGATCTAAAATAAACACTAATTGTATATAGTATGCAGAATTATTTAATTATTTTTATATTTATTTATATTTATTTATTTGTTAAATTTGTCATTTATCTGGGGTTACTATAGGTGGCTTACCTATAGTATAAATAAAAAGGAAGAAAAATGAAAAGGCATGTAAACAGAACAGACTATTGAAAACATATCCTTAATTTTCTCCAGCTAAAACTGTAACTATTATAGAAATAATGATGTTACACTATGCTGTGAAAGGTATGGTAATACTGATTCTGACTCCATTAAAATAAAAACCAATTATAAGAATCTGATTTGCCAGACACTTAATGCAATATTCTGTAGTTCAAAGATAGCTTTAAAAAAAATCTTCAGCATATTTCTTAAATACCTTTCCCATTTTTTATTGTGTTATCTGCATTCATCAAAATGTTTTTGTTTCTATTTTCAGATTATAGGTTGCCAAATTAAGAGAGAACCAGCAGAAGCTACTGAACGCTATACTAGGTGGATCAATAATTTAACACATGATCAGCTTCTTACTCAGGTATTTGTCTATATGAAAATTAGAGTGTATTTTCCCATTTATATTGTACATAACTTGCTTTGCTTTGTCTGCTTTGAACATGGAAGCAGGATATTTAAACCCATCTGAAAGTAAGACATAATCCCATTCTGCTCACACGGTGTTTCTTTTTGTATATCTCTCTTCAAAAAATGCACTTTAAACCTCCAGGATAGATTTGGGTTGGGGAAAAAGCAGAAATGAGATAATGATCAACTGATGGAATTCTGTCAGAAGAAAATCTGAGCTCAATTCTGCTTAGAATAATACAAAGGCATGCATATACTGTATATCAGTGAATTAAAGCAGAATTTCAGGAAGTGAGGAATAGCGAAATATGAATTAAAATTGCTAATAAAAACTATACATACTAAACAATTTGTTAACTATCATCTTAGCTTTATTTAAAATGTGCAAGCATAATTAAGATTCCAACATAATTAAAATTGCATAACTTTGCATTTTCTTAGATCTTATGGGGAAGCCAGTTTGTAGTAGAAAAATTGGCCAAGGAGACATATGGTTATGTTTCTATGAAACCATAACATTTGTTTGTGATTCTTTATCAGTTATTCTTCTGTGACTTTGGAATCATTTTTGAATTTTGTAGCTCATACTAAGGATGGATGCGTGGATGGATGTAACACATTGCTGGCAATTTTTAATTTGCTTTAGGATATGAGAATGCAGAATAGAATTGTGGTTGGTAAATTCAAAGAGAGAAAGAGTGAGAAAGAAGAGAGGGGAGGGAGACCCTCTTTATGATTCTTTTTTTGAGGTTGCTTCCAATAACTAGATAGAAGAACTTATATTATATTTATCTCAATGTTACCTTATTATCTCTAAACTCACTGTTACCAAAGGCAAACAAAAATACTACTACAAAAATACAGAAAACACAATTTATAAATCTAAGGATATCAATGCCCACTTATTCAGGTTTATTTAGATATGTAGTATTTAGAAGTGTGAAATAATTTGTAAAATAATCTCTTCAAGCTTTATGCAAATGAAATAACACAAAATAACAAAAATCCAGAATGGCACAAAAATAGCAGATTTGCAAATAAACAATTGTATGGAAAAATAAGATGTTATTAATAGCAGTATCTACTCTTTTTACTAGTTTTTTGACCTGTTAAAATATAACCGCTTTGTGCCATTCCTCTTTAGTAGTTATTTAGAAAATTTATATGGCTACCAACTCACTAACAGTGACGCCATGTGGCTTACAGAAATAAAACCCCAATACGAAACTCCACCCCCTGTCCCAATCAACCCAACTTGATGTCTCTCTTGTCACATATTTTACTTGCATAATATTCTGGAAAACTCTGTAGCTTCGCTGAAAGATGCCTCATCAAAAAAGGTAATCTATTAAATATCCTAGTTCCCCCATAGTGTTTATTTTGATCTTAGCTTCCCTCCCACCCTTCTTACCTCCTTTTTTTTGTCCCCAAAAGAATTCTTGTTTGTAACCTACATTTCTTTTATTACTTATCTTTATCTCATTTTGTTCCTTGAGGCCTATGGCCCTAAGCATATTATTTTCAAAATGTTCTGACAATGAGAACAGGCAGGCAGTCAAAACTATTTGTTCAGCCGTAAGTACCAGTCCTCTCACCTCTCTACCTCCCTCAGGGGACATAAGAGCAGCTAACATAACCTTCACTTTCAAGTGAAATAGAACTCCTCTCAACTATATCATTGTTATCCAGGAAGTATAAGATGTTGAAGCACTGAAAGCCTAATTTGATCCTTTCTCCTCAGGGTAACAGTTGTTCCCTATCTTGATTGCAGTTCCCTTCTTCTTAAGAGCTGACCAAACCAAATCAATTCTTCTCATTATAGCCTTGGATATTAATAAACTATAGATTAAATGCTGAGAAGACAATTAGGGAGACTGTATCGGGCTCATTACCATGTAGAATTCTTGTTACTTAAAGATGAAAATCATTTGGGAGTTAGGGATTAAGTTTGGGAGTGCTACTGTTGAGATGCTTTTATAATAACAATGTCTGGATAAAATTTTTTGGGTGCAGGTATGGGAATGACCTTATTCGATATCAGGAAAGAGTTAGTTGTCTCAAACAGTATAAGAACCAGGAACGTGCAGTCACTAGAGGCAGGGGAGGCGGGGCCTCACCAGTCTCCTGAGGGAAAGGAAGAATTTTTATATATTTTTTAAATAATTAAAGCCAGGGTAGTTGCTACCAGATTCAAAGTCACAGTGGCTTGGTGTCTGGAAGCAACTACCCTGGCTTTAATTATTTAAAAAATATATAAAA